ATAAAATTTTGCGGACATTTGGGAAAAAATAAATACATTGGTTTGAAAGTCCATATATAGTTCTATTAGAAACTGCAAAGACACGCTTGGTATTCATATTTCGTTTTCATGTTACCATGGTTACAAACTTATGCTTTTTTGAAGAATTACAGACAAGGGCAATGGGTATCTACAATCAGTTTCCATATAAATACCTGAGTATTTTATAATGGATTAAAACCAAATTTAGATATATGGTATACAATAGCAAAAACAAAGAGAAAAATCAATTTTCATGACAAAAAGTCAAAGGTCAAGGTCAAAATGGCTTGATTTAGATGGGAAGTTAAGGAAACTAAGCACATTTATTTTCTGTGTCATAACTAATACTTGTATTTTAAACAACATAATTATGAAGAAACAAATTACAATTCTGGTGAACAATAACTAGCTTCACATGAATAGGTAAATACAGACAGGAGGTCAAAGTTCAAGGTCACAATTATATATAAAATTTGCCTTTTTGTTCCCCACTTTCACTGAAAGTGGGGTTATTAATTTGGGTCTGTCTGTCTGTCCATCCATCCGTCCTTCCGTCATTCTGTCTTTCTATAACACTTTCGTTTTGGTGCGATGTCTCAAGAAGCCTTTAAGCCTTTGCAATAAAATTTTACATAACAACTCCCAGTGGCCTAAGAAAGACCTCCATTGATTTTAAGGTCAAAGGTCAATTCATAAATTCTGTCTGTTTTAACACTTTATTTCCGCGCGATTTCTCAAGACGCCTTCAAGCTTTTGCAATGAAATTTTATACCACAACTCCCTATGGCCTAAAGCAGAACCCTATTGATTTCGAGGTCAAAAGGTCAAAGGTCAAGGTAAAAAATTTATACTTCTGTTCGTGTGTAAAACTTTCATTTCCGAGCGATATCTCAAGAAGGTTTCAAGCTTTTGCAATGAAATTTTATATCATAACTCTCTGTGGACCCGCCCGCTCCTCTTAAAGTGTCCCGTCCCCACACTCCCACCACCCTCTGACCCGCATCCCTACTTGTGCTACATGCATGTGGTGTTTTTGTAGACTAAGCCCTTGTTCTAACATAGTATAGAAAAACAACACATGCATGTAGCACAAGTCACTCAATATGTTTAGTGTATAGGCTTTTAATATATTGACTTGGCTACTTTTTTATCAATAAATGACCTCAAAAAAACATTGTCATGGCATTTTCACAGTATGCATCAAGCTAATTAAAGGTGAGATTGTAATACCAGTTTCAGTAAAATACATGTATATAAAACCGGATACGACAATCACAATATCCGAGTACAAATGCTATACTAACAAGCTAAAAAAAGGTCCTTGTTCTAACATTTTTTTTTTACCCTATTCAACACTCTGCAATCAAAATGTGTTTTCCTGTGACTTTTTACAGAGAAATTGACAAAAAAGCCTAAATCCATTTTACTTTGCAATATTATTCTTAAAAATTTGAAATTCAGAGACATTGATGATAATTCAACCCAAATATGCCTGGATTTTACACGTAATATACACGTCAGCTATTTCCAAAATTTAATCAATAATAATATGTTTTTAAAAGCTGCTTAACCTGTTCGGATAATCTGTTTTTGTGCTTTCTTGAATTTATGTCGGTTGCTAAGTTTGAGTTGGTTGGTAAGCTTGATGGAATCGTACACCTTATGGTGTGTAATGTAAACATTATTTCTAAACTTTAGCCATTGAAATTGTTGAAAATAAATAATCTTTCCCCGCCTTCCCCCTATGGTTTTCATTTTTAAATTGAATAATTTATAATAATGTAACCAATCACCAGGACTTAACCCACCTTTTAAGGAACCATGTAAATGCACTTACCCTACCTAAGTTGGTAAGAGTCATTCATATGTATTACAATGTAAGAAAAACATGGATCCCTTGTAAATTGGTAAGAAGAGCTATTTATAAATATGAAAGAAAGTCGTTCATTCACAATAGATCAACCCTGAGGCATAGATTTTTTTTTGTGTTTGTTTAATTTTATGATTTTTGTTTGTTTGGTTTTTTTTTTCTTTTGTCGGAAGGGACGGGGGGCTTGTGAGAAATTCATATATGTTTTCATTATTTATACAATACAGCAAGACATATTTAATATTTAATGCTATAAGGTTTGAAATCTAAATGCATCTTAGATAAATGATCAACCTTAACATTAATTTTGATTTGGAAAATCTATTTTTCCCTGCAAATCCCCCTCTCTCCCCCCCCCCCCCCCAAAAAGGCAAGAAAATTTAAAGTGGTAAAAAATTATTTGTTAAGTGCAATTTTGAAGGGTTGACAGGAATCAAACAAATCATTTCTTATTGTTGCCCTTTAAACTTTCTTTTTTTATTGGGTAAGGACCTTTCCCTTACAGAAAATTCCTGGATCAGCATCTGTACATCACAACATTGTTTTCAAAAGCATTGAATCTGAAATATACATACACAACTTTTCTCCTTTTTTTGTGATACATATAAAGGCAAATTGTAGGAGAAATTAAAAAGATTGAAAGTCTTCTGTTACCCCCCCCCCCCCCCCCAGACACTAAAAATAATGCTGTTAGTTGTGGATTGTTGCCTTTTTTTGCAACATTTAAAAAGAAATAAAACATGATTTTTCGTTCTTTAAATTCGGGATGGGGTTTAAACGGCATTATTTTATATTTATACCAAAATCTATCAAGTGAAAACATTCATCATGTTAAGATTATGAATGACAAAAATACTGCTTAAAATTGCATTATATGACTGTGTTGACGAACACCTGATTCGGAACGGGGGAGGGGATTTTTCCGAGTCAGATTATTTATTTTCATGGTGGTGAAGGACAGATAATTTATTTCAAAGATGATCCAGGACAGATTATTTATTTTCTTCTTCACTGAAAAAGTCTGACTAGCCAAAACAAAAAGGGAAAACACCAAAACTCTATTTCATGGAGGGGGGTAGCACTTATCAAGGAAAGATTATTTATTTTCCTGCCAGTCGAAGACAGATTATTTATTTTCAACATTTTCAAGAATAGAATATTAATTTCCAAAGTCTGTGTTTCTTCTTACAACCAATTCAATATAATTTTGATATCTCAAGCTTATCTTTTATCCATTTTGAAACTCCTTGAGGATTAGGCTTAAATGTCATGTATGTGTACAAAGCTGATTTCCTTTACCATATGGTCTTGTACATTTCACATATGAAAAATACTCTTTGCATGCAGGAAATAAACAAAGAGGATTAAATTTGTATCCAAAACACTTGTTTTTACTTGAAATCCAGGATATATGATGACAATGTGAACAACTTCCAGTCCGTTTTGTTCAATGATTTTTTTTATCTCTCACACTAAAGAGCTCACAATTATCAAAGGGAGATAATTCTAATTTTAAATGAATGTCAGTTATTTTAATCATAGATTTCTCATATTTATAGATAGAATACCAACAATGTTTTTGAATGTCTTTTAAAATTAGATGTCATATTTCTTATTTATGTGAGTAACATGTATTGAAGTAGCCGCATTTCATTAAATAACGTTCCCAAAAATTGCATTTTTTCAGAAAAATTCATCTTTGGACACTGTTTCCATGGTAACTATTCAACATTCATATGATCTAACAATATTTTTTGGATTAGTTTATGAGGTGGTAATTTCCAGCCAAATTAAAAAAAAAAATCTGTGACTATGCGTGCCACAAAAGTTTAAGTGGTTACAGAGAATGGCTATTAACAGGTAAGATATTTATTTCAACATGCAAGATAATAAGTTGCATGTTAACATACATATTTCGCATGTTGACATAATTAACTTGCATGTTAACAATTATCTTGCATGTTGACATAAATAAGTTGCATGTCTACATAGTTATCTTGCATGTCGACATAAATAAATTGCATGTCTACATAATTATCTTGTATGTTGACATAAATAAGTCGCATATCTACATAATTATGTTGCATGTTTACATAAATGAGTCGCATGTCAACATACATGTAATCCTGTCGTATTTTGCTTGTATGATGTCATGTAATGGCGTTAGTGAGTAAGTTTACCAATATTAAAATTATATTCTCTAAAGAGATCTGTAACGTGTATGTCAACATAATTATTGTGCATGTTGACATAAATAAGTCGCATGTCAACATAATTATGTTGCATGTAAACATAATTATCTTGGCAGCAAGGAGAATGTTGTAATTATACAATAGTAGTTGTAATTGTAAAGTATGGTACTTGCATTTAGTTATAACTCAAAAATCATTCATTATGATCACTGCTCATATAAATTTACACTGATTTACACTGTCGAATCGAACTGTAGCAGCGGTCCACATACATTGTACCTCATGACATGGAACATATCAAAACTCAACTCAATATTCAAAATCTAGTGTCAATTTTTTTTATTTACTTAGAATTAAAAAAGTATTCTCCAGGGAAAATATAAAAAGTAAAATTGTTTCCTTTGCAAAAAAAAAAAATAATAATAATAATAATAAATAAATAAATGAAAATAAAAAAATATAAATTAATAAAAACCCAAGTTAGAGAGGATATAGTAACGCTCTTGTTTGTTTGTGTGAGTGGTGGGGGGTGGGGTGGGGGGGGGGTGTCAGTGAGTGGATTTGTAACAAAAGTTAAGCAATGATTCTTATCAGGATCGATATGCTCTTTTGCGAGGGCATGCTCCGCTTTGCGATGACCTTGTTCACGTTGGGGTAGAGGGCGGTACTATTTGAAAGCATTTCATGTCTCGCCAAAAGTGGAGTAACTCTCTCAAGTCGGTAAGCTATAAATGCCGAGACATTCCGCATCCCTTACGGAACTCGCATTTGAATCTAGTCCTAATGTTATGTGATAATAGCGGTAATAGTAATCTAGTATGACAGACCTAAATCCCCTACAATCATTTTCGGTACCATTATAGGTTCGATGTCATTCCTTTCATCTTTATATTATATTAAATATATACAAGAAAAACTAGTGCTTTTTAAATTTATTTTCATTTAACTCATTTACCCTTGTACAACTATACAGGTTTCTTTGTTCCAGCTTGAATTAACTGATCAAGGTTGGCAATAACTTTCGTCACCAGTTTCGAAATTTCGTCCCGATTTACTGTCGGCGAGTTCAGCATAGTAAGTATACTGAAACGAAAAGTTTTAAAATAAGTATATTAAAGATAACCAGAAGTCTCTGATGAGACTGTAGCTCTACTGGTTGTACTTAAAGAGGAAGATAAAAGTAGCACTTGGACTTGAAACTTTGCAACAACAATAAATAGAATAATGATCCTTGGTTTAGTCTGTTTTTGAGGCAAGATTTATTGCAATCAGAATAAAACTGTAGGAGGAGTAGCCTTTTAAAGTAATTTTACAGAAATTTCGATTTAAGTAACCATGGCAACATCATTCAACGAAATCAAAAAGCAATAATGACAGTTATGTATCTCAATGTAGTGTACTTGTATGCCAAATGATATTGAAATCAGAACAAAACTGTAGGAGAAGTAGAGTTTTGAATGTATCTCAACACCGTTCATCGAAAACAAAAACCGATACAGAGAATTATGTATCTTTGTGTAGTCTACTTGTATGCCAAGTTATGTTGAAATGAGATCAAAACGGTAGGAGGAGTAGCATTTTGAATGTATCTCACAGAAATTTCTATTTTTAGTAACCATGGCAACACCGTTCATCAAAAACAAAAAACGATATATAGAATTATGTATCTTTGTGTAGTCTACTTGTATGCCAAGTTATATTGAAATGAGATCAAAACTGTAGGAGGAATAGCATTGTGAAAGTTTTTCACAGAAATTTCTATTTTTAGAACCATGGCAAAACCGTTCATCGAAATCAAAAACCAATAAAACGAATTATGTATCTTAGTATAGTCTACTTGTGTGCCAAGTTATATTGAAATCAGACCAAGACTGTAGGAGGAGTAGCGTTTTGAAAAATTGTTTACAGACGGACGGACGGACAGACAGACGGACGGACGACGGACACCTTACTATCGCTTAAGCTCCTCTGGTCTCTGACCAGTAGAGCTAAAAATTAAGAAAAATTGAAAAAAAATCAATTCTGAACTTAACTAAGCCAGAAATAGGACTTTTAACATGATTGTTCATTTTTTCAGAATATTAATTTGCAATTTGTTTTGATTTGATTATTAAACTGTGTTTTTATTGTCTAGAATATACTCCTTTTAGTAAGTGTTGTTACCTACTTTTTCAGAACGCCTCGACTTTCTTGCACTACATTCCTTACGTAGTTCCAATCTTTTAAAAGAAAAAAATAACATGTTATACATCAATCAATTCAAAATTTTATGAATTTTATCGTCTGTAACTTATACTAAGCATACGTTTTAAAATTTATTTTACTCTTCTCATTCAAAAAGTAAATCAATACATTGTAAATTGGAATATCTTAACCTAAACATTGTTAAAGAACAGCTAAAAAATTTCAAAACATGGACAAATTCTTTTCTAAACATAAACAAAGGACATTTTAAAACAAACAAGAGGCCCATGGGCCACAACGCTCACCTGAGTAACTTTGGCCTTGCTGTTTTTCACCTGATCCCCCCCCCCCCTTGTAGTGCCTCGCCCTATCCCCAGGGGTCATGATTTGAACAATTATTATCTACACTACCCAAGGATGCTTCCACATAAGTTTCAGCTTTTCTGGCCCAGTGGTTCTTGAGAAGAAGATTTTTCAAGATTTTTACTACATATCTCAATGTAAAACTTGGATTCCCTATTGTGGCCCTGCCCTACCCCCGGGGGTCATGATTTGAACAATTTAGAATCTACACTACCTCAGGATGCTTCCACACATAAGTTTCAGCTTTTCTGGCCCAGTGGATCTTGAGAAGATTTTTTAATGACCCCACCCAATTTTCGTATCTTCTTGATTATCTCCCCTTTGAAGGGAACTTGGCCCTTCATTTTAACAATTTAAACTCCCCTTCACCCAAGAATGCTTTGTACTAAGTTTTGTTGAAATTGACCCAGTGGTTCTTGAGAAGAAGTTGAAAATGTGAAAAGTTTACAGACGGACGGACAGACAGACGGACGTCTGGACGGACGACGGACAACGGGTGATCAGAAAAGCTCACGAGCTTTCAGCTCAGGTGAGCTAAAAAGGTGACTTAATTTTATTTAACTTTTACATAGTTTTATTTTTGTTTGAATACAGAAATTAACTTTGAATTCCTCCCTTGCCGGCATACTTTACCTGGAATTGGTGAACCAGTGGGGAGCGGCGGAATGGGGGATGGGGGAGACGGGGCAGTTAAGCGAGTGATGATTTTTTGGAATGCCTGTAGTTGTTCCGGCCCTACCATTAAAATGTCAGGTATTTATTTACATCAGAAAAAAGTTCAAACAATTTTTCAAATTCTTGATGAAATTTTAAATTAACATCATTTGCAAAAATATTACGCACTCACTCCTTTGCATAACATGTATTTAATTTTTCATAAAAGTTTTCGCACCCAGATACTTGGCAAAGATGGTCTCCACGCTGTTAAGTGGATAATTAAACAAGTTGTATTCATAGTTCTCAATAACTTTCATGGCGTTTTTGGTGTAATCAAGCAGTATTTGGATGATCTGATCGAACGGAAAGATGTGCTTATAGATTGTTGACCACTCGTTCTTGTAAAACTCGGAAGCGACCCCTGACAACATCTTGTACGCGACTCTGTGGATATATCCAGTCTCAACCATGTCAAAGAAGCTGCAAAGGATTAAGAAATATACAAGTAAATTAAAAGGGCTCAATCATAAAATATCTATTTACTGCATGTACTTTACAGGTTCTGGATTAAGTTCTAAATTGGAAACTTCTTGTTGGTGTTTCATATGGTACACCTTCCCTCATAGTAAAGTTCCCCGAGGAAGCTAGATTAATGTGTTAGTTATAGGGGAAAGTTTGCTATGAAGTATTTTTTTTCCGCATAGTAAACTATCCAACGTAACCGCAAACGGTTAAAAAATGATGTATTCTATATGGAATATATTCTATACTTTCAACTGTGAAGCCATTGATGATCGGAAGAGGCTACAATGTAAATGTATATTCAAGTCCTATAAAATAATCTTTACTTTTTTTGTGAACATGCAATTTTGATTCAACTAACAAACCTCAGCACCTTATATTCTTTTGAAGACCCCACAATTATTTCATTCACGGGCCCTCATTAAATATAGTCCAGTTTTCAGTATAACTAGGGGAGTATACGGAATTGTGGAATGAACTTTGGTCGTCAATAGATATAATTGTAAATTATTTCGGTTTATTTAGTATTTCATGAACAAAATTAGGCACAATATCTGGAAATTTCTTTATAACCCCCCCCCCCCCCCCCGAATGTACGTCAGATTAAACCAGCATCTGAATTCTTGTAATTTCATAATTTTCATTGCTTGACAAATTGGGAGAATAGGCAACTTTGAAAACAAACCTAATTACAGTGGTTTAAGTAATTTTTAATATTTTATGACTGTGGTCAATTCCAGATATCTCTTTCAAATAATTTCATACATATTAAGCAGATAAAAAGTATACCAGTAACACAAATTTTTTTTATTCTGAATCGAGTACATTCTTGCTAATTTTGATTATGAAACAAAGAAAATTAACATGATGAATGTACTTATAATTCCAATTATGAATACCGGTAATCCGGATCAAAGGGAACACTATATAGCACAAATATCCTGGGGTTGATTTTCTATAATTAGGGGGAGGGGGTGTTTGCTATATAGCAATTATTGCGAGGGGGGTGCTTTATTTCAAGCATTTTGGTGGGAGTTTTACGATGCAAAAGGTTTACTAAATGACACCGGATGGGGAGGGGGTATTCCAAATTTTAAATGAACCCAGAGAACTACATATATGTATGTATTGAAACTAATACATACCCTTCTCTTGTTTCATTAGCAATTCTTTTGTGGTTCCACTTCATTTCGTCGATGCTGGTACACCGTAACGCACGTCCGTTTTGCATAAACTGGTTCCCCATTTCCTGCTGAAAGTTCCGAGTCCACATATCGGGCGACATTGCCGTATTTTTCATTTCTCTGAATCTGTGCTCAGTGTAGTGGTAGAATTTTTCCACAAAGTTGTCAAGTTCTGCGAAAAATTAAAAAAAGTCCAAATTATTATTTGAGTAAAACGGGTAAAAAGAATCGGTAAATAGAGAGAGAGAGAGAGAGAGAGAGAGAGAGAGTTACCCCCAAACTCTTCTGAGAGAGCCAAATCTATGAGGCTATAGAACAAATAGCCGTGGAGAGAAAACATAATCTTGTGGGTCAAATTCATCGACCTTGGGAATCCATGAAGAATGGCGCTCAGTTTTGAGGACAGCGAATCGTTCCGGAAGGTAGATTTCATCTCTTGTGTGATGGCATCTAAAATAAATATTCAATACAAGCAATTAAAAACTTGATCATTGCCTTTTTTTCATAAAGGAAATACCTAATTATATTATAAATAAATCTCACTCGAGATAAATGTATTCGACCGAGTTGTTATAACTTACATGTAAATATCCAAGGGTGATTTGAACCAACCATGAAAGTGTATCACCAGTCAAGGTTCGTTTTGTCGCCAAGGTCGGTCATACATCCCCTTTAACTGATTTGCTTCCAGACCCTCTCGAATTCGCTATTTTTGGGGACTGATCATTTCCTTTTTTGTTCCCTGGAAATATTGTAGTACCCCCCCCCCCCCCCACACACCCCACCTCCATTCCCCCCACCACCACCACCTTAAAGATATTTCCATATCCACCTTCGCAAACATAAAACAACCTGCACTTTAAGGTACTAACAAGATAATGTAGGTCATTTAAGTTATTCTTGACCACTTACAAAATATGACTTGCTGATATTTGGCCGTGGCACAAGTGAGTCGTCTCTCGACTACCTCTTGTGTAAATCTTCTCACCAGAAATAAAGCAGCAACTTCCGGTTCATCGACAATGCTTAAGAGTTTCATTGTACGTGCCACCAGAGGGCGGAACATATCCGGGTAGAAAGTTATGAAATCTGGAATGCAATATATAGGTCCATTGCAAAAACGGTAAGAAAACGTATATTGGTTTAGGATAAGATGTTGTAATAATACTAATAATAATTGCAATACAGACATTTATACTTGATCAGTATCACGAGTCCAGTTAACCACTGTAGGCCAACAAGGTTCAAACAAAATTCAGTTACAACTAAAGTCTGCATAAAAAAGATTGCTAATGCCTATAATATATACATCCTATACAGTTGGTATACCTACCAACCATGTCCTCTGTTCTCGGAAAATTGAGAACACGTCTCCATAATATCTGAGTCAAAATAGGGCAATGTAAATTGGAATCAAGGTTGAATGGAGAATTAGACGAATTGCCTCCTGGACCCCAGTTGGATGAGTTGTCTGGGGACCATGGACTTGGACTGGGTGTGGGTCCAACAGAGGAGTCCGTGTACGGAGCAAAACTTGGGGAGGGCGAAGGGGTGAATCCGCTTCCTCCATCAGTACCTGGGTTATATGTTGAACTGGGAGAACTTTGACGTCGGTCAAGGTAATGTTTAATCTTAGAAATTAATTCAGCATAAGGATCACCATGTTTGACACGTGTTTTATGAACAGCAAGGGCATCTGTGAAGAAAAAGTTCTTATGTAGTTCATTTTTTAATATGCAGAGCATGCATTCAGATTTCTATCCTTGCGAGCGCAGGCCCAGTGCAGCTATTGACAACGGTAATAGGGAATGTTTTGTTGTGGAAGTAGTTAAAGATTTAGAATGTTAGTAATATTTTGAGATGGTAACTTCAATGTACGAAGAATTAAATTGAGAAACGAGTGCACAATTTTTTTGTGCACAATGAATGCACACTTTATCGGTAGGTTGATCTGTAGCTCTCTGGTCGTCTATCCCAATTTTCTCAGACCAGTAAAATCTATAGTTCTGCAGCTATATAATGTGTAAGAACAGAGGTAATTCGAAATGAAATAAGCATATTTGAGGTCGTAGTTGAGCGTACGTTTTATCCCCCAGCGATACATTGATCAAGCAAAATTATTGTGAGCAAGTTCCCAGAATTCTTTCGCTGCTATATGTAAAAAATATTGGCGACTAGGCTCTAGTTTTTGCCGAGAGCTTAAGGGGAGAAAAAATTGCATCTTCTGTGAAACTTTTTAAAAATATCATTTTTTTAATTTAAAAAAAATGCACTACATGTATATAGAATCCGTCATGGATATTCAACTACAATGATTACCTGCAGAACTGTAGCTCTCTGCTTGAGAAAAATCTGACAGATAAAGCAGATTTATCTCTTCGAATTTTCTCAAGCAGAGAGCTACAGTTCTGTAGCTACTACAATGATGCGCATTGAAGTAAAATTTTGCCTCAGGTCTATGCTTTGAATAGAACGTTTTGGTTTTTCTTTTGAACGTCGATTGTTATATAACGACTCCCCCATCTCAGAGCACAGTCTTTTCCTCGCTATGTTTCAAGACACCCCACTCTCTGCGAGTTTTTCTAAAATGGGGATTTTAAGTTGAGAGAGAGAGAGAGAGACCATCGCTTCTGGAAAACTCGCATATTGCAACAAATATATGCATAATAATGTATTTATCAGGTTAATTGAAGTTATCACCCGTGTATCGTTCGAACACGTCTTTACCCGATATTGATGTAGACTACCAATCTAATTTGCTGAATACCTGTTCCAAGGGTATTGAAATGAAGCATGTGAGAAAGAATATAAACCGTATTTTCCTTTCTGAAGAAATGGGCGCGTCTTTAAATAATAAAAAAGCGTAAATCTTTCCTTTCATACGGAAAGTTTACCACTTCAATGCGCTTCATTGTAAGATGTGACGTGTCTAGACTGTGTCCGACCTTTATCCTTCCAATTTAGAATTTGGTTTGCAGAGCTAGGCGGAATCTTAAGTTAAACGTATAATTATACATACATGTACATGCATATTCCATATGAGACATGTAAATTAATTTAAAGCTATAGGACCATATACATGTATATGTATAAAGATATTTGATGGCATCCAGAGATTAATGTAGATACTTGTACCTGTGCTCCCCTCAACGCTATATAATCTCTACACAATAAATTTTTAAAAAAATTAAAAATGAAGAAACCACCCGTGCAATTTTTTTTTTCAGTAAAACTAAATTCTAAAACTAACCTGAATAAAGCCCACAAAAGAGTATTACAATGACCACGAACGAGTTCATAATGCTGCACGAGATTCAAGAGGACAAAGTTCTTAAATGCAAGGTTTTATATAGGGTACCCGACGTGTTTGATTGGGTACTCTACATTCGCCTAGTGAAGCATCACGTGACTCCGCTGGCCAACCAGTTTCAATAATCAGAGCACATTGTGAGTAACTGATGTTTAAACACGTGAACGGACCTGGACAGGGTTTCACAAAACAGTCGCAAGATTTGTCCTAAGATGGATCATAAGATCATCTTAAGATCTTATTTTTAACAATCATGTCACTGCCGTTTCACAAAACTATCTAGGTATAAGTAATCCTAAGACAAGTCTTAGGACAAATGTCATGCTTCAATACACAGACCTTTAGATCGCTTTTCCAAAAAAAAAAAAAATATTAAGCTGTTAAGAAAAAATATTATACATCCCAGTTATAAAGTTACATAATGAGTCACAATCATGTTTCTTTTAAAGATAATTGTATCACAAAACAACAGATTTATGTGAAATATGAAAAAAGCGAAGTTTTGACAACTCAACTGCACTGTAAAGCGATAAAAGAACTGCAAAATGAAAGTGCCGGAAAAGCAAAGGCCGTATCTATCACTTAGTTATTATCGTCAATGTCAACAATGTCAAGGTCATGCGACTTTACATTGAATTGCAGCAAGCGAAAGTGAGGAATAAGTTCTGATCATCTTTATTGAAGATTGCATCAAAATTCTCGGTCATCAGACATTTATATCTATGGAATTGACATCATGGTAAATTCTTCAACTTTTCTGCGCATACGTACAATAAAGAGGAAGAAGCGAAGCAATATATTTGTTTTTGGGCAAACAAAAATTATTTTTACTTTTATTTTTCTCCATAAAAGTAGATTTTTTAGGTTTTGAAACTTGTAATTTTCTGAAACCTAATATCTTCAAGAATTGAACAAAATTTGCATATGTCATGCAAAAATTCTTCTTTTGTCAATTTTCCCCTTTCTCCGTCACGGTGTCTCTTTAAAAGTCGAATTTAAGCGATCCAAAGGCCTGTGCTTCAATATAACAAGGGACTTAAAAATAAAAACGTTTGCACAGTCTGTCTTTTTCAATTTTCTTTTAAATATTGGAAATAATAGTGTAACTCAATCAAATATTTCTTTTGGAGATAACATTTCATTGCACCTTCTTCAATGTACATTTCGAGGGGGGGGGGGGGGTCAGAAAAGCTAAATTATAAAAAATTTTCAGTAGAAAAAGTATTAATTTATTTGCATAATAATGGTATCTTTTTGCTCACAAAGTAGTAGTTGTTAAAAAAATGTATGCGATACTACTTTATTAAATCCACTGCATTTGTGCCTACGCAAATTATAATGGTTTTTTTTTTAAAAAAATTCAATTAAAACACCAAGTCGCCTCCCTTCTTTTTTTTTCTTTATAAAAATCTATGAAAGTGTCTCTGAAACGCTTTTACTGTAACTGAAATAATAGTGCTATCAGACGAAATGGAGAGAACAAGGCCCGTAGCAACGGTTTCAAAAGTGGGAGGGGGACAACTTCCCCAAAAATCTGACAAGCCAAAAAAAAAAAAAAACAAAACAAAAACAAAACATGAAATTAATAATAATAATTAAAAAAACCCAATTAACTGTCCAAATCTTGGAATTTGCCAGTGGTCGACCTTAGAGCAACAAGGGGGTGGGGTTGGGAGCACGTGGATGGGGGAACCAGCATCTAAAAGAAAATTTACTATATCCCCCCTCCGCGTTCTACGGGCCTGAATTCCTAATCAGAATTTTACAGATTCAAATGCTGTTAAAAAGCATTAGGCGTCAAATATTACAGCAGTAATTGTCCCTCGCTTTCACTGAAAGTGGGGGATATTAATTTGGGTCTGTCTGTCCGTCCGTCCGTCAGTATTTCTGTCTGTCTGTAACACTTTCGTTTCCGCGCGATATCTCGAGAACCCTTTGAGCTTTCGCAATGAAATTTTGCATAGCAACTCTTTATGGCCTAAAGAAGAACCCTATTGATTTTGAGGTCAAAGGGTCAAAGATCAAGGTCGTAAATTCATAAATTCCGTCTGTGTGTAACACTTTCGTTTCCGGGCGATATCTTAAGAAGCTTTTGAGCTTTTGCAATGAAATTTTGTACCATAACTCCCTATGGCCTCTCTTGCCCCTCTCAAAGTTTCCCGTCCCGTTTTTTTTTTATTTATTGTATTAAAAGTCGCTTGGCACTATTTTTTGCACAGGGGCATGTCGAGAGTTATTGACGTATAATACAGGTTGTCGGCTGACTTTATATTCTAATTACATCTATTAGAACTGTTTAGTAAAGGCTAAATTAGACAACATTTATCGTGTAAAATTTTGACAATATCAAACGTGAATATAAACATTATATGTGACTTAATGTTTGCATTTAATTTGCTGTTTACTCAAGTGACTATGTGGTCTAGTGGTATATTGCTCGTTTATCAAACGAGAGGCCCGGGTTCAATCCCCGGACGATTCTCTTTTTTTTAATTAATTTTTTTTTTTGGATTTACTAAATGATACTATTCAACATGTGAAATGAAAAAGTTATGATGTCTGGCGTATACAAACTCATAAAATCATTATTACAGTGTGATGAATATTCTGTATATTAAAAAGAATCTTCTGTACACATATTAAAGAATAAGCAATCAAATCTTTATATCCATATTGGCATTTTTTTTAAATTTGCTTCAATATACATTTATATATTTAATAATTCTACAAATACAGGGGGGCAGTGTAACCCCGAAACCCCCCCCCCCCCCCGAACTGCGCAAGCTCTTCTTTTTTCCTTAAGGGGGGGGGGGCACAAATTCTCTGAATTAGCTTGTTACATGTATAACCGGTTACTTCAGGTCAGCTAGTCTAATTGTCTGACGTCATGGCGTCAGACAGTATTAGATTTAGCCAAGGCTTGTTGGTCAAGTCGTTCAATAGAATTCTTGTGATAACTTGATCTTGGAAACTTCATACTATCTAAACTATTAATTGGCGAGCATGTGGAGTAAAGGAAACATGCTAAACACCCAAACAAGCCAGAGTATTGGAGCCGATGCCATTATTATCACATTATACATTACAGGTTACATAACATTTGACCATTCTCGAAAATTGCATCATTCATGTCCAGCAAAAACACAAGGAATGAAGCTGGTCAAGTCATTACTACCAGAAAAACTCCTGATTGGATGTTTATTTTCAATGCATGCACTATGTCCCTCTGCCTTTAGAATTTTTATAAATCTACACATATTCATAACTGGCAGACGTTTGATTTATTCATAGTTTAAAAAAATATCAAAGTGAAGGATAAATGTTGAATATTCTTTTGCTTTAAATTAATTGCAAAGATATTAGCTCATTTGAAACACGTTTATTATTTTTAATAAGACATTTCTTAATTATCAAAATTGTTCACCAATTGATGTTTAGATTTTTATGTGTTGTAACTTTTTCTTTCAAAAGCACTGGTTATATCTTTCTATTCATTAACAGGCCCGTTGGAATAAATTTCAGAAAATTTCAGTTTCGGGTGGACACAATCAAGGAAAAATTCCTTATCGGGCATAAAAAGATTATCCAAAGTTAATATTTACATAAATCAGGGGAGACAAGCCCCCCCTCCCCCCCCCCCCCGGTTCCTACGTCCATGAAAAAGAAGAATTTAAAAATAATATAATGTATATACATGTAGAATCACGTCTCTGATAAAACAAACTCATGTCCAAGTTTCTGACTTGAACACTTTTCTTGTTTCTTAGTGCTAATTCATTTCATGACTCAGAGTCATGTTGGTAACACTGGATTTAACTTTTCTTGATTCTTCGGGTAAAAATAAATTTGCTCAAGTCAGACAAGCTTTTTAGGAAAGCTAATACTTGTAGTAGGTATATATTTAGATCTCATACACATTCCGGTGGATTAAGGAGGAGTACCTCAAGAACTGAAACTGTTTGATTTTCAACTTATTATGTAAAACTGAAAGTTTCTAGGGAAAAATCATTAAAATGTAACAAAATAAATGTAAAAGTCTAAAAAAAAAAATTGCAGGGTGGCTACACCAAAGTTCGATTTTTTTTAATTTTTGGGGCCGAGACATTCGTGTGACTTATCCAAACCATAAAAAAATCGCATTTTTGATAATTCAAAATTTATTTACTTAACATATCCACAAGTCAAATATTTCGGATTGCTTAGCCATTTTACAAAATTGAATACGAATTAAACCTAAAATTCATAACTCTTGATCATTGAAAATATTCAATGAATTCAAATAAAATAAAATGATGTCTAGATTTTACACACATGGATACATGCCCGTAAGAAGGAATATCGGAGGGGGCTATTTCAGTTGGGAGGGTGCACAACCAAACAAAAATGCCTATAAAAGAATAATTGGGTACAACCATAAAGTAGCTTTTTATTATGTTTTCTATCTTTCAGTATTTATTTGCAACATTATCTGGTTTAATTGGAGATGGGGGGGGGGGGTCACTGTTCCCACTGGCCTGATATAGTTTTAAGGATTGTTCTATCTCTAGATACATGAAATTGTACTTTCTCTCTAAAAAATCCCAAAATCCTTCGTTTTTTAGCCAAAAGATATACCATCGCCATGTTCACTTTAGCTTTAAGACTGGTATCTAGTTGTCTTAAGATTAAGGTAGATCTTAAGATTATCAGAAGATTTGAAAGTTTTGTGAAACAGCTATGGTGTCTTAAGACAGATCTTAGTCATAAGATAGTTTTGTGAAACGGGCCCCTGGCCGATTTCCATATACAGGTCGGGTACTCAACGTTTAATGAAAATCTTTTTTCAACACATAACAATGTTTGCGTCATACTCTGACATTCTCCAGTCAATTGAATGAGTCGACAAGCAAGCAGATTAAGTAAGTTACGTGTTTACAATTCAACAACGTGGTTTCGTCGATTAACTGATAACGCATGATGTTTTAGGTCGCCGGAAAAAATAAGGCTGAAATAGAAAAATTA